ATTCTTTAAAGGTTCACCCATATTGTTATCATGTATCAGAATTTCATTCCTTTTAACCGCTGTACTGTACATATAGATGTTATTTACCCATTCATCTGTCAATGGATTCATGAGTTGTTTTCACCTTTTGACTATTGTAAATAATGCTCCCATGAACATTGGTGTACAAATACCTGAGTCTCTGAGTATTAATCTAGAATTTCTAATCATATGGTAATGCTGTTTAACTTTATTGAGGAACCACCAAAGTATTTTCAACAGTGGCTATACAATTTTACATCACTAGTAGCAATTCACAAGGTTTTTGTATCTAGTGAATAGAGGCCAGAGATGCTACAAAACATCTTACAATGTATGGGATAGCCTCCTGCAACCAAGTTATTTGGCCCCGAATGTTAATATTGCCAAGGTGGACAAATCCTGGATTACAGCTATTCTGTCATATTTCATGAATCAAGTCCATAAAATCATTCTGAGCATAAAGCAGAGCATATTGATCTTTTGCTTCTGAATTAAATGATATTGTGTTTAAGTTTTTTTTACTATTAATAACTCTATATGCATGTCCAAATCACATATATTTGAATGTATTTATTGAATTAGGTGCTAATTAATTTAATAGTACAATGTGAGATGAAAACATTGTTATTTTTAAATGCAAATCTTCTATAAGAACAAGCATTATCTGTGTTTTGCTGCCCCTCCCCTTTTAAAGATGAACAATTTAAGGAAACAAGTTCTTACAAAACGGAAAACTTTAATTGTTTAAAGCAAAGGCACAAGTAAACATTTCAGGTTATTATACAATGTTACTATAAAAAATTCCAACAGTAAAATGAAATACATTATAACTTTGCATCTCTTAAGTATATTGAATGTATTATTCTATCATCTCTTCTTTGGAGTGAAAAGAAGGGATAGGTAGATCAATGGATGTGATGTAAAAACTTGGATTACAAATAGTATCCACTCTACTTTCAACCAGAAATTTTAATTAATTTGGTACAAAAAATTAAATTTAAGTGGATTAATTTTAAAAGCGTAAGTTTTTTGTTAATGTAGAGCAGCAATAACTTTCAAGCTAAAACTCTTTGTTTTAATAAGTAAATCTTTGATTTCACAAAATGTTAACCTCCAAAGCCTAGTACTATGCAACAATCAAGCTAATCATGAAAGAGCTTTACCAAAACATAATTCATACACTTATTTTACCTTAAATCTGAATATTACAATACATTATGTAAATGACAAATGAGGAACCAAATGATTTCTTATGATGTCAGAAATAATATATTTCAAAAGATCTAAATCTTATTTTCAATCAAAGGCACTATCTGGAGAGTAACAAGCTGCATCATGTTCAGAGCTAAGAAAAAGCTTTTTTCGGTTAGTTGGAACTTGATGTCTCAATTAGCAAATAATGAGTGTTTACTATCAAGGAGGAAAAAATAATAGAAATTGTGTAAAGTTACATCTTTGACTTCTTTTGCCAAGAAGAAAGAGTTCATAGGTTGGGCTGGGGATGTGGCTCAAGCGGTAACGCGCTCGCCTGGCATGTGCGGGGCGCTGGGTTCGATCCTCAGCATCACATAAAAATAAAATAAAGATGTTGTGTCCACCGAAAACTGAAAAATAAATATTTAAAAAAAAATCTCTCTCTCTCTTTCTCTCCCCTCTCTCTCTTAAAAAAAAAAAAAAAAAGAGTTCATATGAGTTCATAGGAGCATGCTACCATGCCTGGCTTACCACTAATTTTTAAAAAGTTTATTGATGTCTTTTCTTGTTCTCCAGGTCTGTTTCATTATTCAATGCAATTTCCACTTTATTCAGATGACCTATGGCCTCTACTCTCAGCATATCAACCCACAGTGCCAAAGATATCAGGAAGGTAATTATCCTAAAGAGGCAAGTTTTTCCATTGTAATTTGATTTACAAAATAGGAGAGATTAAATAAAATCTGTCAGGGAATATGGTCCAATATCTCAAAAGTCTTGAACATACTAAACACTAATTTGAATAAAATGGAGTCAAATTAAGACATAGTATCCTATTGCACCCTAAATGTCAGGAAGATTTTAAATTCTTCTAAGATGTTTTTGAATCAAAGATTTTTTTGTTGTTGTTTTTTGGTTTGGAGATAGAGTCTTGCTACATGGCCCAGGCTGGCCTTTGACTCCTGGATTTTGTCAGGTGACCCACCACCTCAGCCTCCAGGGACTACTCCAGGTATACACTACTGCACCTGGCTTGAATTAAAGGCCTTAAATGAGAAGAATGTTGTTTCTAGTTTTGCATGGTCCAAATTAGAAGAGCATCAACAGAATAATGTTTACTTATCCTAATTCTTTTAACACCTAATTCTAACCACAAAGAGTACTTATGAAATTCTTTAGAATATCTTTCAAAATGTGACTCTAGAAAGATGTCCTATTTTAAAATTAAATTGTAACATTTCTCAGTGAAGCATATCCTAAAAATATTAATAATACATATTTCAAAGAATACTGCTGGGATTCGGGAATTCATTCCTTTCTTTCTCCTCTAAAGTTTCAGGTATTCTTCAAAAATTTTCTATGGAATCATAGATTACCATATAAGATAGCTGGTATACTTTTCAATTTGAATAGTTGTGGAACAAAAGATCCACCAGAAAATTTTATGTTTCTAAATCATTACCTCAACAGAAAAGAATATGGTTTGATCTTCTATTAAGCCAAACTAAAGAAGCAGCCTAACATTCTGGAGTATCCAGATCGAGTTTTTTTCTGTAAAGGGCCAGAAAGTAGATATTCTATGCTATGAGGGTCCATGATCTTCACTATAACTATTTCAACTCTGCCATTATAGCCATAAAAAAAAATGGCTGAGTATGGTGGCTCATGCTTGTAATCCCAGGAACTTTGGCAGCTGAGGCAGAAGAATTGCAAGTACCAGGCCAGCCTCAGCAACTTAGCGAGACCGTCTCCTTAAAAAAAAAAAAAAAAAGTGTGTATGTGTGGGTTACCAGGAATGCAGCTCAGTGATAAAGTGCCCCTGGTTCAATCCCCAGTACTGCAAAGAAAAGAAAATATGGCAAATGGATAAGGATAGCTGTGTTCCAATCAAACTTTACGTATGTACACTGAAATCTGAATTTCATACTACTTTTATGTGACATAAAATATTATTCTTTTGACAATCTGTATATGGGGTAAAAATGGGAGCTCATAACCCACTTGAATCAAAGTGTGAAATATGATATATCAAGAACTATGTAATGTTTTGAACAGCCAACAATAAAAAATTAAAAAAAAATATTATTCTTTTGAATTTTCCCTAACTAAAGTAAAAACAGGAAGATGACTGGAATTAGCTATACTTTGCTGACTCTTGGTCTAGATTATTCAGATTTCTTGATGTGGGGGTCAAGGCAATAATATGACCATGACTCATCTCACTTCACTTGGGTATTGATAACCTTCTGGAATGACAGTATAGACCCCAAAGAAGAATCCCCAAAGCTTTAGGATTTTAGGAATAATACCAATTCTAGAAGTAGTATCTATACTCATAACTGTAGGGCTTATGAGTGCTGATATTCATGTATGTCTATAGGTATGCATATTCAAAAATATACAAATCTATTAAATCACTTAAATCATATTGTCAGAAAAGCAGAAAATTGAGAAATTTATTAGCTGGACCACTTTAAATGCTTTAGTGTCAGAGAGATCTGGATTAAAATCTTGGCTCCGTTAATTATTAGCTTGTGACTACAGGTAAAATTACCTAACCATCAGAATTTAACTTGGTTCAATGGACTCAGAAGGCATGTTTTCAATTGCATTTCTCAGGCAAAAAAATAGCTACATACATCCTTGCTGGAAAAGCCTAGTCCACAATGTAACATAAGGCTTAACTTCTGGTTTTAGACAAAAACTACTTTTGTCTTTTCAAGTCCATTCCATCATATTGTGCAAAATTGTCCTTCCACACTACTGATTTCTACTTTCCTCTCATCCTCTATGGCTATTCCTTTCATAGGCTGCTAATAAAAATGAGAGTGGAAAGTATCCAGTCAATACATTCTTTCTGTCTTTCCACAGGTAAGAGTAATTTGGATAGTTCTTCTAATTTATCAATGACAGGCATTCAGTTTTCTAGGAAAAAGTCTAAATGGTAGAAAAGGAAGAATTAGTAGGATTTGTATGGCTTCATCTATTATTTAGAAACTAGAGAATTTGAAGATAATGTTCATAGATTATTTGCAGTATAATTGCTTTGCAACTTGGACCTTAGTCCACTGCTTAAATTATATTAAGTAGAATATCAGCATAAGTAATATGTGCTATAACCTCTTTAATCATGAAAAATTTATTAGTTAATATACATGAAGTAAAAGATTTCATCAATAGTGTTTCTGAACAGGCATCAGTTATGAATATGCTAGTGTTGAATGCTAAGCAAAATACTAAAACTATTAAAATATTAGTGTCTGGTTTTCTTTTTAAATTTTCTTTTGACCTACTATGTACAGAAGTTCTGTGAGAATGCTGAAAGAAGTCATTCTGCAATATGATATTCCTCATGTAAAATAATATTTGATGTTGGATATACAGATTCATAAATATGTACAAATTAACAATATATTTATAGTTAACTTACTACTTTTACCAATAACTGACACATGGAAGCCTCCATATGCACATAAAAGTTAGAAATTAAAACAAAACTTTAAACTCTGAAAATAGTTAACAATTTGTTTATAAAATTATATAGGAAAAAAGGCTTTGTGTTTAAGAACCTCAGTGGCTCACTAATAAAATAGTAATTTTAGTGGCCAAAAAAAAAAAAAAATTCCCAAAACACAAAAATACAATATCAATCAGATATATGTCTTGGTCAAATGTCTGCAGATAGCCTTGAAAACAAATTGATAAACAAATATACAATTTGTTCACTGAGCATAAAGTATTGCACAAGAACAGTTTTATCTGAAGAAAATTCAATTTTCCATAGTTCTGAACTTCAAAATGGTTCTCACATTTAGATAGTTACATTTTCTAAACAAGAAACATTAATGTTCATTAATACTGTTAGAACCTTATTTTACCCATTAACCATATTCCAGTCAACTTTATGGTAATGGAAAATCAGTGGTGAAGATTTGGCAAAGATAAAAAAAGGCAGATAGGATTGTAAAATATATATATGTGCATATATATATATATGTACATATGAAACAGATAAATCCAAAAAATCCCTAATCATAGGACAACTGGATCCCTTGAAGAAATCTGTAGTCTGGGTCACAGTGATGGTCAGACAGTGGTTGAGTGTGACTCTCTTCGTGGGGGCCGCTCCTCTTGGATCCTTCGGTGACTCTCCCTGGTCTCCAGCACACTGTCTTCTGTTTCGCTTTCACTACCATCTGCCACAGTGGGGTCCAAAGACATTGGGCCTGATTTTCTGTGCAAGGGAAAACCAATGCCACTTTCCTGTAAGGAGTTATCTATAAAATCTTCATCTGAGGAAAGGAATGATTCATCATCTCCTATTAAATGGTTGACAATGTGAATTCCATCAAAAGGAGGTTGGCCTGAGAAGCCCCTCTGGCCTTTTAGGCACCTGAGCTGTTAAAACAAAACCCAAATTAATTTACTCAAATGGAGGAAACACACACATAAGTCAATAAAATAAATGTTTCATGTTTAACAAACAAAATATCTTGATCTTTTTCTATTTATAGACATAATAATTATTACCAGCTTTTTTTTTTCCAGTGCTGGGGATTGAACCCAGGGCCTCACACATGCTAGGCAAGTGCTCTAACACTGAACTATACTCCAGCCCCGCACATTGCCATTTTTTGAGTGCCTTCTATGTGTTATGTAATTGACACATAACTTACTTTAATTGAAGCACCACAACAATCCTATGTGATAGATTTTATTATCCCAATTCTACGAATTAGGAAATGGAGAATTAGAGTAGCTTGCTAATGTCAGATACCTAATAGCAGAGTTTAGATTCAAACTATCCCTTCACTATATTAGAGATAATACAATTAACTCCCAAGTACCTATTACCTAACTTCAACAACCTTCACATCATGAACAGTCTGATTTCATTAGACCAGATTATTCTGAGATAAGTCCCAGACAGCCTATCAATTCACCTATAAATATTTTCACTGTATTTCTAGAAAATATGAACTTAAAGACCAAGATCTTATTATATATCACATACTCTGTCTTGAGAGTATGTCTCCATAATTCTGTAAATGATGAAAATTATTTAGAAATCATTAAAATTTGCTAAGAGTCTCCATCCTGTTACAATACCCCAAAGACCACAACACTATCACTCACAGTTAGGGCAGGAAAACTGCTTCCCATTCAGTGTTTCCTGCTGCACGGCGTGAATGCCAGTTATGGATAACATTTCTGCTTTCTCTCCTCCCTCCTCCCTTGGGAGGAACTCGTCTCTCTAGGGAGCAGGGAGAGGAATGGTACATATCACACAGCTCTTTTTTCCCTTTTTCTTTCTTTGGAGACCAGACTCTGTTCCTCTATCCCTGGAGTTTAACAGGACACACCCTCATTGAGGAGGTCAAAGTACTGGGTGGGCAAGTCTGATAATCCTAGAGTTCAGTATTGGAACAAAGCTAAATCTAAACCACATTCTCCAAAAGCAATTTTATCAGGATTAAAGATGGTTTCTTTTCATCATCTGCCATGTCTTTACCTAAATTCCTCAAACCCCCAAACTTACCACCATGGATACTACTATTTCCACTAACATATAATTAAGAGACCAGCTCTGTCCTCAACAGTTTATGTTCTAAATATAAAGTTTAATTTTGATATTTTTCACTTGTTTTATTGCTCCTATACACCATGAACTTTCTCCCACAACAAAGCAGAATTTAAAAAAAAAGCTACCAAATATCTTGACTACTATTAAAGATCTTGCTAAAATATACTCCATGTGTCTTACCTTTATGATTATTATTGACCCTCATTCTTGTTTCTCAGGGACAAAATCCTAGTCACTATCTTTCAAATCTTAAGATAAAGGCAATATGAAATATTCAGGAAATATTACATATACTTTCAAAACTAACGGTTCTGAGAGTAAAGACATTACAGCCTTGCTATAACACCTTCCAGCTTTCCTGACAGACTTCCAGGAAGAAGTGAAGCAACCTCAGCATTTCTCTGCTTGCATGTGACAACAGGACACAAGAGATGCTAGGGCTCAGTAATGACATGTGACCCAGGCAGACCCTCAGCCATAAAGAAATTCTCCTGCCCTGAACCAAGAGAACAAACTTATAGTGAGGTACAATGAAATTGAAATACCACTCTTTTCTCCTTGGCAAAACAGAAAAGATCTAAATTCGGAGTTGAATTTTTAGAAAAATGGCACAGAGCACCACAAAGACCTCTCTCAAGGTTGTGATACCAATGGCATCATTACAACTGCCAGGTCTGATGCAACATCCTATATTCACCATATTGCAACACATGATTTATAGCTCCAAATGTTAAATTAAAGTCAGTTAATCTCTTCCTTTCTCTTTCCTCCCTCCATCACTTCTTCAGAAGTGTTTACTTCTGAAGAAATATTATGGAACACATGCCTTCCTTCTGTCTGGCTGTTATAAAGGAGTATGGCAGAGAAACCCCAACTTCCCAGTTATTTGGAAAGCTGTGGCTTTCCTTTGTTCTAACAAAATTTATCGGAATTAAAACTAGTCAGTCTCAGGGCTGGGACTGTAGCTTAGTGGCAGAGCGCTTGCCTAGCACGTGTGAGGCACTTGGGGTTTGATCCTTAACACCACATAAAAATAGATAGATAGATAAATAGATAGATAAAATACAGGCATGCCATATGCTGTACAATTGTAAAAAAATTAAAAACAAAAAACTAGGCAGTCTCTTGCCAGATGTAATTACAGAAAGTTAACTATAAGTTGAGGGATAATTTTCTTAACACTAAAGGAGATGCCTCTTTATTTGAGAACTGATAATATACCAAAGGCAGAGATATTTTTTGGTGAAAGAAAGAAAAGATGAAAATAAGGGACTATCTGGTAAAACCGAAGCTATCCGGTGGACTCAGGTATGTGCACACACTGGTTTTGGTGAGGGAGGAGACCTATATAGGCCCTGAAAGCAGGCATTTGGGCAAAGAGTTCCAGGGTACTGAGTATGGTCATCCTGAATACCTGTGAATATACATGTTGCACTGCTTATCTTTATTAACAGACTTTTAGAAGCTAATTATATTTAAAAACGGACAATCTTCCCAAACCCTTCTCTCCCTCTCTTTCTTACAAAAAAACCAAAACCTTCATGGTATTATGGACAACAAACTTAGGTTCAGATATTTTATATAATCCACTGATCACCTAGATCAGAACTGAGGATACCTGTTAAAAATGTAGTCTCCTTCTCCAGATTTAAGGAATCAAAATTCTAGGAGTGAAACTCCAAAATCCGCATTTTACAAGCATTTCAGGAGATTCTGATATACTCTGAAGTTTGAGAATCATTATGGAGGTTGGGGGTATGGCTCAGTGATACAATTCTTGCCTAGCATGCATGAGGCCCTGAGTTTGATCCTCAGCAGAGGGGGTAAAAATAACAGAATGGTATACCTTCTGTTCAAACCAAATGAGAATAAGATAGTAAGTAGATGATTTATATTAAATGGAATTCTTAATTATTCAGGACAAAAGTTTCTGAAGGACGACTATCCATTTCATATGTGTCTGGTATATACAAGTGGATGCCATTTTTCCAGCAGCAAAATCAAGCTGTTCTGGGCCAATCTGACCACCTAGAGGTCAGCACAAGAAACACTTTGTTTAAATAATGTTCCTGGAACTTACTCTTTCTGGCATAGAGGGTACAGTTTAGGAATGTGTATGTTCAAAAAATCTGAATAATTCTGCTGCATATCCCAGGATAAGGACCATTTCTCTTGGCAATGTTTTTTGTTTATTTTGTGGTTTTGTTTACCTCTTTTGGGTCAATTATGGGACTGAGAATCTGATAAAAGCTACTGACACTCTGTCTTAAAAAGAAAACACATAATTTAGCATGCTATTTTGATGCTCATTGTCCATCCTAATTTTTAGATAAACACTACAGGAATATCTTCATGACACTTAGCAACAACAGAAACTCTTATGAAATGCCTGTAATATATTCATATCATTGAAAAAGAAAAAATATTTCCAGGTGAATTAGACATAGATCCAAGAGCTGCCAAGGAAACAGAGGCACCACGACTCTCTGGAATTGTAAGTATAGGAATTTTTCTCTGAAGAGAATCTTGGGACACCCCAAAGGACGGTTGTAGCTAGACTGCCCTACAATAAAGATCATGGTCAATAGTCCTACCCAAAGATTCAAGACTTCCTGTCAGCTTTTCAGTTCCCCAGCCTTTAAGTCTGAGCAGAAAATCCCATATTATCAGAGACTGGAGATAGTGTCTAAGAGAAGGCAGAAAAAAAAAAAATAGTCAACAAAGAGGAAAGAGACTATCTTGGGAGAAGGACAAATTAAAAAAAATTTTTCTTCCCTATGAAAACACTACATAAAAAGAAAATAACAAATAACTGTCAAAAATAATCTTCATTACATTTTTAGTTTTATTATAACCTTTACTTTTATTTACTTATTTTGTGGTACTAAGGATTAAACCCAGAGGCCCTCTACCACCGAATCATATCCCCATGCTTTTTGTTTTGAGACAGGGGCTCATTATCATTACAACATTTTAGTGTATCTTTCAAGATAATTTTTCTAACCTTACTTTTCAAAAAAAAGTAAGATTGGTCACTTTCCTTTTTGTTTTGTATCCTGCTTTTTCACTTATTATCACAAACATTTCTCAGTATCATAATCTGTTGGCTACACAGTGTCTCATTTGCAACCACAGCATCACCTGCTTAGCCAGTCCTCTTGTTGGGATATTTAGGTTTACAGCCTACCCATTACAAACAGCACTGCCACCAACATTTAGAAATAAAATTTTTAACCTTTATTTTATTTATTTCTTTTTATGTGGTGCTGAGGATCAAACCTAGTGCCTCACAAGTGCTAGGCAGGTACTCTACCACTGAGCCCCGCTACCAGCATTTCTGAAGACACAGCTCTGCAGAGTTGCCTTGTAATTTATGATGTACAACCAGAAGTACAGAATACAGCTAAAGACTTCAACATTCTTAAGAAGTTTGATTTCTTATGGTTAAACTTCCCTCAAGAGAGGTTGCAAGAATTCATATGCTGGAAAAAAAGTTTTTATTTGGTAATCAAGCAAGTGAAAAATTTTAGTTTTTATTATGGAATATTTTTGAAAATAGACAGTAGTGTAGCTAACCCCATGTTGCCATCATCCAGCTGTCACAATTGTCAAATTATGGCCACTTTTGTTTCAGCATAACACACTGCCCTTCCAACCCTGGATTACTTAGAAGGAAATGAAAGAGGATTTTTGTGGTATATGTGCTGGGAATAGAACTCAGGGACTTGTGTATAATAAGCATAAGCCCTATCACTCACTGAGGTATATTCCCAGCTTAAGAAAAAAAAGTTTTTAATTGTAACTGTGGCCTGTT